GGTTTGAACCGCCAGGCTTCTGGTTAGCAGTCAGATGCCTTAGGCACTATACCACCAGAGCTCCTAACAATATTATGTTGTTGTTGTTGTTATGTGCTGTCGAGTCGGACCCGACTCATAGAGACCCTTCTTTGGGTTTCTGAGGCAGTATCACTACAAAAGCAGATTGCCCAACCTTCCTTCTGAGGAGTGGCTGGTGGGATTGAACCACCAGCCTTCTGGTTAGCAGTCAAGTGCCTTAGGCACTACACTACCAGAGCTCAAGTATACTATTTGTCAAAAATTTCATTTTATTTATTGTATAATTATAAATATGGTATTGTTTTATTAAGTTACATTGCTAAATATTATTTACGTACTTTTCCTTAGAGCTTGGCCACTCTCCTGATTACCTCACAGATCCTTAACCAAATTGTAGAATCTCTTCTTCCTTACTGGCTTCAGAAGAGGCATGGTGTACAGGTGAAGAGGAAGCTGCAGGCTTTAAAGGCAGATATCGATGCTACATTATATGAGCAAGTCATTCTGGAAAAAGAAATGGTAACCTATTTGGTAAGTTTGTCTATTGCTGAATGAAACATTTACTGAGTTTCAGTACCACTCATGACTAATGGGTGCATTGTACATGCGTTATCTGTGACATGACTATTTTTATCAGTGCTTTCTAGCCAGTTTTCTTATTAGTCACTTTAAAATAATAATAATAAAAAAAAAAAAAATGGCACTGTTCATTGAAATACTGCTGTCTTGAATTTGAGGTTATGCCTAACAACTCCAAGAGGCAAGCTTGGTGAATTATGTGATTGCTCTGCTGAGAAGGTAGTGAGAATAACTGCTTAAAAAATGACAAAGCAAGGGAGAGACTGCTCACGGAGAGGCGGCAGCATTGCCTGCTCATTACTTGAGACAAGTTGCTCAAGCAGTGGATTGAGGAACACAGCTACAAAACGGAATGCCAAAGAGAAAATAAATTTTTAGTTTAAACCAACTTAGTGTTTTTGTAGATAAAAAACAATTCCTTTAAGACATAATTTCAGAGTTATTTTTAGGAACTGCAAACAGATCATTAGAGGCTTGGCCACTTACAGTATTTGAAAAATCTCACTCATAAAATCTAATTGTGTATTCATCACACTTTCACTGAGCTCTGAATATGTTCACCATTTTTATATTTTAGGGAGTATTCTGCTTTAGAGCATTGTTTCTAATATCCATCCTTCTTGGTATGTTATTCTTCTTAGTAGAAAATATCCTTCAGTGTTTCATTCTGTGAGGGTATGTGATTGTTAAACTCTCACATTCTTGTTTTACATCTTGAGTAAATTTGTCTCCTGATTGTTGAGTTTGCTCGCTGACTTTCATAGTTAGTCGTTCTCATATGATTAACAGTTTTAGATCGCATGTTCATCTGAAGTAGAAGTTTGTTCTCTCTTTCTCTGCTCATTTCTCCCTGCTTTATTTTTTGCAGTTGCCCCACTGAGCTTCCAACTTTCTAGTCCAGAACCAGGTTTTTGAAGTCCAGGGCTCCCATCTTATGGGGATGTTGGAGAGTTTGCAGGTCTAGTCACAGAGCCAGAAGGTAGAATGCTGTCGACAAAGTGGTAGTTACTGGGTAAAAGTTGTGGCTTTTACTCAGCTGCTTTTCAGGCATAGGGTTTTAGCCCCTGGTTTTCCTCGATAACCCTGGTTCTGTTTACACTTTGGGAGAGTGGTGTGCTTTTGCTTCCCCTGCCCACAGGACATAGATGCTAGCTATATCTGGCAGCCCATGGACTTGGAGCCTCTTGCTTACCATCATTTTTATTCCCCCTGTAAGTGTTAGTTATTATTATGTATCAGCTCCCATTATCTGGGACTAGAGGGAAATGAGAAATGACTGGTTTGTGATTTTTAATTTTTTTTTTTTTAATTCATGTATGCATATTTGTCTGCATGGGATTTGTAGTTGCTTCTTTTTTCCTTCATCCAAGTTTTTATCTGTCTACCCTCTGGTTAGTGGTTTACCCTCCTTTCCCCATCAACCCTGGTAACCATCTAAGAATATTTCTTTTTTTCTGTGAAACCCTTTCCTTGACTTTTTATGATAGTGGTTCATGCAATATTTGTCCTTCTATTATTGACTACCTTTACTCATCCATGTTATGAGATGTGTCACAGGTTCATTGTTATTCTTTAATGTTGTTTAGTATTCATTTGTGTGTGTGTACCATAATTTGTTGATTCATTCCTCCATTGATAGACATTTAGGTTGTTTCCATCTTTTTGCTATTGTGAATAGTGCTACAATGAACATGGGTGTGCATATATCTATTTGAGTCACAGCTCTTATTTCTTTAGGATATATACCTAGTAGTGGAATTGTTAAATCATATAACATTTCTAGTTCCAGCTTTTTAAGGAAGCACCATACCATTTTCCACAGTGGTTGCACCATTTTACAGTTCCACCAGCAGTGTGTGAGTGTTCCAGTCTCCCCACCTTCACCAGCATTTG